GGTAAGACTAGGGTAGGAGGTGAGATGACAGCCCCCCCCCCCTTTCCTTTCTTTTTTTTTTTTCTTTTTTTTTAGTGTGTTACAATACTTCCCACCTTGGATTAAATTTCATCCTCGAAATTTTAAGTCATGCGAAAAGGTGGGGGTAACGACGCTTCAAGTCCTCTTCTGCTTCCCAAGTCACGTTTGACCCTCGATGATGTTTCCATTGAACTTTAACCATGACAATCTCTTTATGCCTTAGCTCCTTGGTCTTTCTTTCCAAGATGGCTTCCGGTTCTTTGACACAACGGTTTTCCTTATCCACACGTATTTCCGAAAGTGGTATTACACTTTCTTCTTCCGCCAAACACTTACGTAGGTAACACACATGAAATGTGTTGTGGATTCCGGTCATCTCAGTAGGTAGTTCTAATTTGTAAGCTTGAAGCCCTACCTTAGCTAGAATTTTAAACGGCCCAAGGAAACGGGGACTTAGCTTCCCGCGCTTTCCGAAACGGATAATGCCTTTCCAAGGGGACACCTTTAGCATTACACGGTCGCCCACTTGGAATTCTATAGGTCGGCTCCTCTTGTCTGCGTAACTCTTTTGACGATCTTGGGTCGCCTTTAAGCGTTCCCGAATACACTTCACCTTGTCGGCCGTTTCCTGAACGATCTCGGGACCAGCAAACTGTTTCTCTCCCGCTTCTAGCCAACACATTGGAGTTCTACATTTTCGTCCATACAACGCTTCAAAAGGTGTCATCCCGATACTGGAATGATAACTATTATTGTAGGCGAACTCCACCAGGGGCAGGTGAGAATCCCAATTCCCCCCAAAGTCGATAACACATGATCTAAGCATGTCTTCAAGGGTTTGAATGGTTCGTTCACTCTGACCATCGGTTTGAGGATGGTAAGCTGTACTTAACTTCACCCTCGTTCCCAACTCTTTCTGCAAGCCGCCCCAGAAATGGGAGGTGAATCGGCTATCCCGATCTGACACAATAGACAATGGTATACCATGCCTCAAAACTACTTCATTGATGTATAACGGGGCAAGTTTGTCCATTGGCAACGATTCTCGCATGGCTAAAAAGTGTGCACTCTTTGTCAGCCGATCAACCACCACCCATATCGTGTCATGACCTCTTAGAGTCTTCGGCTGTTTAGTCACGAAGTCCATGGTAATATGCTCCCACTTCCATTCGGGAATCTCCAAGGATTGAAGGCTACCATAAGGTCGTTGGTGCTCCGCCTTCACCTGCAAACAAGTCACTCACCTCTCCACGTAACGAGCCACATCCAACTTCATAACAGGCCACCAATATGTCAATTTCAAATCCCGATACATCTTGGTGCTGCCCGGATGAATTGAGTATTTAGACTTGTGTGCGTCTTCTAGTAACAGTTCGCGATTGCCTCCAATCTTGGGAACCCAGATATGCCCTCGAAATAGTTTCAAGCCACGACCATCCTCAGTCAACAGTTGGTGTTGTTTTATCATTATTTCATCCTTGAGATTTCCCTCCAGAAGTGCTTCGGATTGTGCCACCTTGATCCGATCGATCAGACTGGACACTATATCGATCCTAGTAAGCACGACTTTTGTCCCACTACCATACTCTTTTTGGCTCAAAGCATCTGCCACTACATTTGCCTTACCCGGATGATATAGTAATTCACAATCGTAGTCTTTGAACAGTTCAAGCCAACGACGCTGTCTCATGTTTAACTCTTTTTGATCAAAAATGTATTTCAAACTCTTATGATCAGTGAAAAGTGTGCACTTGGTACCATAAAGGTAATGTCGCCAAAGCTTTAAGGCGAACACCACCGCCACTAACCCCAAATCGTGGGTGGGATAGTTCTTCTCATGATCCTTGAGTTGTCTTGAAGCGTAGGCAATCACCTTTCCCCTTTGCATCAGGACACAACCCAACCCCATTTTTGAAGCGTCGCTAAAGACTACAAAGTCTTCGGACCCCTTCGGCAGGGAGAGAATCGGGGCTTCACACAACTTCTTTTGGAGAGTTCTGAAGGCATGGTCTTGCTTCTCCGTCCAGATAAACTTCACATTCTTCCTAGTCAAAGCCGTTAAGGAGGAAGCAACTTTGGAGAAATCTTAGATAAATCTCCTATAATATCCTGCCAGACCCAAGAAGTTACGGATTTCTGAAGGACTCTTTGGTGGTTCCCAATTCATCATCGCTTCAACCTTGGATGGGTCAACCTTCACCCCATCTCGAGTGACAACGTGACCCAAAAATTGAACCTCCTTCAACCAAAAGTCGCACTTGGAGAATTTTGCGTACAACTTCTCCTTTCTTAGCATTTCGAGGACTTCCCGAAGGTGTTGTTCATGATCCGATTCATCCTTGGAGTAGATGAGTATGTCATCAATGAATACTATTACAGACTTGTCGAGGAATGGTCGGCACACCCGATTCATCAGGTCCAAGAATATTGCCAGTGCGTTCGTCAATCCGAAGGGCATGACTAAGAATTCATAGTGTCCATATCGTGTTCTAAAAGTTGTCTTCGCCACATCATCTTCTTTCATTCGAACCTGGTGATACCCTGAACGAAGATCGATCTTTGAGAAGCAACTGGCTCCTTGGAGTTGGTCGAAAAGGTCGTCAATCCTGGGGAGAGGGTATTTGTTCTTCACGGTTGCCTTATTGAGTTCTCGGTAGTCAATACACATCCTCATGGTGTCGTCCTTCTTCTTCACAAATAAGACCGGAGCTCCCCATGGTGACGAACTCGGTCTAACGAATCCTTTCTCAAGAAGGTCTTGCAATTGAGACATCAATTCTTGCATCTTGAAGGGAGCCAAACGGTAGGGGGCTCTAGCAAGTGGAGCGGTTCCCGAAATAAGGTCGATTCGGAACTCCACTTGTCTAACGGGTGGCAAACCGGGAAAGTCTTCAGGAAAGACGTCGGAAATTCATTGACCACCTTCACATCCTCAATTCTTCTTTTTTCTATCTTGGCATCCAACACGTACGCGATGAATGAAGGACACCCCTTAGCTAAGCACTTACGCGTCTTTGCCATGGATAGGAGTACTACATCTCCCTTCTTTCTTTCTCCATAAACCAGCACTGCGTCCTTGTCTGGTAAAGGAATTCGAATCAATTTCTTAGAACATAAGATTTTCGCTTGGTTCTTTACTAGCCAGTCCATTCCAATAATGATGTCAAATCCGCCTATAGCCATGGGTATGAGGTCCACCCGAAATTCCTTTCCTTCCACCCCAAAACACAGTCCCTAACAATTTTGCGCACCAAAACTTGACTACCATTCGCTATCTCTATGATCAAAGCATCTTCTAGTGTACTAGGCGGCGTATGCAAGTGTTGATAGAATGAAGTGGACACAAATGAACATGAAGCACCTGAATCAAAAAGCACGTGTGCAGGTATAGAGTTAACGAGGAACGTACTCGACACTACATCCGACGATGCTTTGGCTTCCTTCGCAGTCATTTGAAAGGCTCGACCGGTGGCTTTCGGGGTATTTTCTTTCCTTCCTTGGCCCCCTCCCGCCTTCATCTTTGGACAATCATTCCTGAGGTGACCGGCTCTCCGCATCCAAAACAGATGGGTCCTTTGATAGAACACTCATTTCGCGTGTGGCCTAGCTTTCCGCCTTTAAAACATTTTACGGGAGTAGGGTTGGTGGTGCACGGGCCATGGTGTTTAGTGCGACATTTGGAGCACCACCTAGCTTCTTGCCTAGGAAAAACTCCCCGATTGCTGTTATTGAGGTGGCTTGGTCTTTTGGAAGGCAAGTAATGACCTTCCCACTTTCTTTTCTCACTACTTGCCACTTTCTTTTCCCTTCCTTTAGCGTAGACCGTTTCCATGACTTTTGCCTCTTCGATTGCCTCCCTAAGGGTGGAGGCCCTGGAGTTCCTAACCATAACCATCATGTCAACGGGCAACCCTTTTAGATAAGCTTTCATTTTTTCTTTCTCCGTTAGAGCCACATGTCCCACTAGATTCAATTTTTCCATGAAGAGTCGCGTGTAGTCTCTCACTGACAAATTCCCCTTCTTAAGGGTTCGAAACTCATCTTCAATGCGGTCCATCTCTTGTTCATTGCAATATTCCTCCAATACTTTCTCCTTAAACGTGGCCCAACTCATCTTGGCTAGTTCCTGGGCCTCTATGGTTGATATGACAATGTTCCACCAGGTAAGGGCCGCGCCCATTAGCATTTGAGAGCCAAATTTCGCCTTTTGCCCTTCGTCACAGTCACAAGCTCGAAAGGCCTGCTCGATTTCTCGAAGCCAGTTCATGCATGCCACAGGATCATCTGACCCCACGAACTCTGGTGGTTTGCAACTTAAAAACGTCTTGTAGAAGCAAACTCTTCCTACTTGCCTTGCATCGATCGTTACTAGCTCTTGGGTTGGGATTCCATTCCCCGTACCCCTAGACCCCCCCATAGTTACATTCTCGGCAACTGCTTCATGCTTACGAGCATTACCGTCTCTGTCCTTCAAGAGCTTCATAAAGAACTCTTATTGTTGGGCCATGGCTCTGTTCATGGCGTTCATCATAGTACCCATCATTCTTGATTCCGGGGTTTCCTCTTCTAAAACGGGGTTAGAGGTGGCAAGGTCGACTTGGGGAACGTGGTCAACTTCGCCGCCCAAGATGTTTTGTCTAGGATGAACCCTCGCGATGGTGATTCGTGGCGGTTGATCCGCGGTTGATTCAGTCACCGCATGACCTTCTGGTGAGGTATCCCGTCTACTCCGAGTATTCACCATAAAGTCTGCTTGTACAATAGAGTAATAGAAAGTTAGAATGGGAGGAATATATGCATATATAAAACTAACATAATACGGTATCGACACAATCATAATTTTGTAATAACAGTGCGTCCAAGCATGCTCATGCAACAACTTACTCAAAATAGCATTAGCTAAGTGGAATTTTGAATAGGTTATACATAAGGATCCTCAACACCATTGCAACAATTTCATGAATTATGCAACTCCGTTGACTCTAAAGCTCTCCTAACTTAAAAGTCTCTACCCATAGCTCACGAATTAACGCTTACAAACTCAGCTTAAGTCTAGGCGTCTTAGTTCCTCACCTAATTCACTTAAACTACTGCTCTGATACCAACTTATAACACCCCAAAAGTAAAAGATAATATAAACCGAAAAAGTTTAACGAGAACCAGAATCTTGATAGGAAATTCACCCAACAAAAGGTAAAAGTATAGCGTTTACAATTTAGCTAATGAGAAGATAAATAACAACC